TGGGAGGCACGCGGGAGACAGCAGGGCGCGCCTGGCGCGAGCTTGCTGAACTTCGCGTACAGGAGGCGGCCGCCAGCGGCGGCAGCGGGCGACGGCAGCAGCGCCGACGCCAAAGAACAAAACGAGTTAATCAGAGTCATCCGACACCCCCCCCCGCCCGCTCCGCCGCTCCACCCGCCCCACCCCTTTACCATCGGTAGTGGCGGCCTCCTCGGGACGGGAGGCACTGGCCACCATGGATGACATGGAGGGAGACGCCTGAGGGAAGGACATAGGCAAGGAGGGAGAAGGGCCCTGAGCACAGGAGAGGACCTCGCCCGTAGACGGGTGCAGGCCTCTAGAGGCCTTGGAAAGCTTCCGCAACTGCTTGTCCCTGGTTGATGGAACCTTGGAAGCGCCCTGACACTTGGCCATCTGAGCACGAGGGACACCATGCGGGAGCAACACAAAGCCAGCACAGGTGGAACAAATCATCACACGATCATACTTCTCAATCGTGTGACCTCTCGACTCAAACTCACAAATTGCCGCCTCTCTCTCGTTTCCCGAGGAGTTTCCAGGGGGAGGAAGGGGCGGCAGCAGACCCTCAGCCACCAGGGCCTGGTCCGCTTCGACCACAGCCGCGGCCTTCACAGGCCGCGCTCGATTTCGCACCCGCAACCACTCCTGCCCCTTGAGGGCTGAAAGGGCCGAGGGTCGGCAAAACTTGGAGGGGCCGTTACACAGATGCGCCAAGGTGCTGCAGGTCCAGGCCCCGACGAAACATGAGATGCATCTCACCTCCCCTGAGTCAGGGTCGAGGAAAAAGGAATGACCATGCAAGCTGAGCTGCGGTGCAGGCTGGGGTCGGCAAACACTCGACGGCGGGGGCAGAGAAGTCCACCGTCTGAGTCGGGCAAGCCTGGCAGCAGCCCAGGAAATATAATCGATGGTAGCACGATGAAACTTGAGTTCGCCTGCGACCGCCTCTGCCGTCGTCCTAGCTATCATGACCCTAGTCGAAGCTAGCTTGGCAAACAGGTCGGCCCACGCATTCCCGATCCAGGATATCGGGTCCAGCTTTCGCTCCAGGACTTCCTCGAGGGAGAGGTGAGCGGGGGTCCAGACGAAGTGAGGGGGAGGGTCCTGGACAGGCCTACGCTGCGCCAACTCAAAGACACTCCTCCAAATGGCAGCGTATCTATTCATTCCGCACGCCAATTCAGGGTCCCAAGACAAGCCTTCCTGAACCAGAGAAAGCAAATCCGACACAAAAACCTCCATGCTGGGATTACGCCTCATGGCGTGCAGGAGCGCAGTTCTCTCCGCTCTGCCCACGGTCTGGACAGCACCCTCCAGGGATCCAAACACCGCACGGACAGGGAGGAGCGCATCGTTGAGCTGAACTATGGCCCACCCCGCACGCCTGACTTCAGGCGCGGCGGGGTGCTGTGCGCTTCCATCCCCGAAAGTAACAGGCCCCCACTCACCCCCAACGTCACCCCACTCCCAAACCACCGAAGATTCAGGCGGGGATGGAAGCTGGATCGAGAGCCTCGGAAAACCGTAACTAACATAGAGTCTGTCAAACTCAGGATCGAGCGGGGGGCGGTGTCCAAGAGCTCGCAGAGCATCCCGATGAGACGCGTGTCGCTCACACAAAACCTCAACACCAGAAGCCTCCTCGCTCTCATCGGGCTGCAACAAGCTGGGACATCCGTGCCACGCATGCCCGAAGGATCCATCATCTGACTGACAGGCTGCACAGTGCACTTTCGCATCTTTTCCCCATGCAGCAAGGCGGGCAGCAGTGGGGTACCGATCAGCCCACAGTGCCCTCAGCGCTCCAAGCGGCGCCTGCCTCAAGTCACGAAGCCCAAGTCGAAGAGCTCGTTCCCAGACATCGTGAGACGCCTCCTGTACAGGCAAGTGATAGACCAGCCGCTGCACCTGCCACCGCTTGATCGACTCCTCAAGATATACCTTCATGTCGGCTGGTGCCACTCGCAGGAGGTCAAAATCCTCACCTTGGTCGCTACGCCAGTGATGAGGTCCAAGAAATGTCCAGCCAATTCTGTTAAGTGTAAGCCAGGCAGCACAGCACTCAGTGGGCCGCGCACCGCCGCCCAGGTCAGCCCTTTGTTGTTAACGCGATCTGCCAAACTCAACCATGCATGTCGTAGCGCACTGAGGGGCACCCGAGCATCCCAGATGAAGCAATGCAGCCGACACAACAGCGCCGTCGTCGCATCAAAAATCGGGTCGTAGCGCACCTGCCACTGACAGTACAAATGAGCCGTCTTGTGCGCTCTCGGCGGTGCCCCCACAATTGTAGCAGCAACTGACCTGGCCGTAACAAGAGCTGAGTCAGTCATGCCCGAAACGCCAGCACCATGAGCCACAGCTGGTTGTGCCCCTGCCCGCCAGATCACTGAGTTCTTGCGACCAGCAACTTGGCGAAACAGATGGAGACGATGACGTCGCTTCTGGAGATCACGAAAGCGGGCCTTTTCTTGCAAGCGAATCGGGCGAATGCCGAAAGTCTCGTGGCCAAGGTTGCGCATCCACGGCCGATGTGCAAACTTAGAGCCTCGCAAGATCTGTCTGACGAGAAGCCACCGTCGCGGCAACCAGCCCCGACTTCTTGTCATTGACGCAAGAACCAAGCACTCTCGAGTCCTCCTGAAATATCCGCACAGCCAAATCAAGGGCCAGTATGCCCTTGGGGTCAGGCCCAACGTACTGGACCGACACATCATCAACAAGAGCCCGTGGCACAACTCCAGCGTAGTTGTCACGCAAGCGTAGGATGGCACGTAACGTGAGACATTCAAGCATGCAGACGGCATGCGTGCATCCAGCTAGAATGCCTTGGTCCACCTGCACCATGTCGGAGAAGGTGCCGTACCCCTTGAGGCTCCTCGGCTGGGCGTGCATCTTGAGCAACATGTACAGCATCCTCGGTGGATAGCCAAGCAAGCAGCCCTCGCGAAACAGCTGCGACGGCCGCGCCATGTCGAACGCCTTCGTGAGATCTAGTAAGACCGTCGCACTGAACTGGCCCCTCAGCACAGCCACCTCCGAGTCCAAATTGTGGCTAAAAGCGCTGTCCGACGAGGTGTAGCGGGACCTGTTGCCCCACACATTGTCCGTGCGATGCTGCTGCTCCCACTGCCGAGATATGCCACGTCGGGCCCTGCCCCAAATGCGCTGGAAAGTGTGGGCCACTGCAATCAGGCGATGTCCCTCATCAGCCTTGGGAATACGACACATCATGGACCAGAGCCGATCTGCAGGCCAAGCGAGCAGTTGCTCGCATCTTGCAAAGAAACTGCCCAGCATCTCGAGCGACTCATCTGACAGGTGCCACAGCAAGCGTGGGTGTAATGCACAGGGCCCCGTCGAGGTCTTTCTAGGGAATGTCAGTATCACCTTCCTCAGGGTGTCGGCGTCGAGCTTCGGAAGACATGGCCACCCTGCGGCCCCAGGAGGAGGCTGAACTGGTAGGCATCCATGATGGGTCCATACATCAACCCAAGTCCTCATGTCCCGATTCGCCAGAGCCTGTGGCTGAGCATCTGCAGGGCGTCGTTGAAATGCAACAACCTGCTCCAGCGGCCGCACCTTGGTGACACGATGAGCAATAGAGGCCCCTGACTGAAAGGCCTTGCGCTGGAACTGCATCCAAGCTCGGTAGGATTCCCGCTGGTCCTCCTTGCGCAGCCGAGTGGCTTCGTTCCCGACCGAACGCAGGAGGTCCTCGAAGCCAGGTGCAACCAAAACCTGCAGCCCAGAGTTCAGGAAGGCCTGCACATTCTCAGGCATCTGGTGGAGCACCACTTGGCTGCGCATGATGTTACGAATATACCCACCAACTTCACTGAAAGCCTGAAGTAAGACTGCGCACTGGGGCGGGTCAATATCACAAAGAACATGAGCCATCTGAAGCCTGGTGACCAGCGTACGAAGTCTGTGGCGCTCCTTCTGAATGTGCATAAACCACCGAAGCACCACCTTCCAGGCCAAGGTCTGCGGGCGCTTGTAGGTGCGCTTGAGGGGTGGCTGCCAGGCCACCTTCCGCCACGTGAAGGAGGTCGCCCCCGCTCGGCCTGAGTAGCGCAGCGCAGCAGGCCCCACATGGTCGTAGCGGTTGGTGAGCTCCCTTTCGACCCCAATCATCAAGTCGTCCATGCAAGCAGCAAGCCCTTCCGCGTCATCGGCCTCCTCGAAGCTGGTAGCCTCCCAACAGTAAGGGAACCTCGAACATCCAGTAGGGGCCTGTAGTGGTAGTTCCTTGGGCAAATTCGGCACGAGCCTCCATAGCGGGTAGTCCTGTCCAAGGACTTGCAGGTGCACTGGACAATGAGGGTATAAGGTTGCCTCTTCGTCAACCCGAACATGGGAGTCTACCCGTGCTGCCAAGTTTGCCGAAACCAAAAATAATCAAGTACAGTCCCGGGATTGGCCTGCCTGCACGTCGGCACCTTTGGGCAGAAGGGTATTGCCGAGGCTGCCGTAGCCCAGCTGGACGAGAAAAGCTCAGCAGGCTGGTTATTCCAATCCCCAGCAATGAGCCAGTCCACCCCCTCGCTGTTGAACCTCGCGGGAGCCTTGACCGTCTCCCACAGGTAGGCCGTGTTGACTGGGCCCATACCATCCTTCGTGTCGAGGTAGATGCTGCCAGCTGTGAAACCTCCAGGCACACCCCAGTGAATATGCGCAAACAGACATCTTCCAGTGACGACCTCCCTCTCGGCCAAGATAGGGGCGGTGATCATCGCGTCCGTGCGAACCAGGATCGCAACCCCTGCAGTCGTGCCCGTCGCCGAGGCAGTACTCGGCGTCGCAGCAGCCCATATCCCATGCCAACCAATATCACGAGCCTGAGATTGCGCCTGCTGAAGGCGCTCGGGCAACAAGTGGTGCTCTTGAACTAGCAGCACCTTCACGTCGTCGCCAATGCCTGGCATGTACTCGAAGATGGAGCCATGCGAGCTGACGTTGACCGTCACAACCTGGCCCTTGAGCGAGGGCAGGCTGCGCTTGGCTCTGTCGTCGGCCTGGCGTCGTGCCTTCCCAGTCGAATCTGATGGTAACTTGGGCTCCGCATGGCTCGACCCTATGCCACTTAAGGTAGGATGTAAGCACTGGGGCCCGTCAGGCCTCTGCGACCCCTCGACAGGCCCAGAGGGGCCAGCGGTGGCCTGAGCCGACGAGACCGAACGGCCCCCCCAAGAGACCTCCCGCCTCTCAGCGTCAGCTTGAGGCGAGCAGGGGCCCAGGACCCCAGGGAGGGCCTGCCCAGACACGTCCTGACAGGGGTCGTGGCGACTCGGGCTGGATTCCAGAAAGGCATGTGGCCTGGATCCTATATTAGAGATCCCAGTGCTGGTCGCACTCATCGGAGCAGTCGTGATATCGACCAGCGTGGCCGCTGACCCACTCCAAGAACTGGTAGATGCAGGCGTAGGTGTAGCTGAAATGGAAGCTGTCGGCCTGAAAGAAAGCACCACCAGCTGCGCGATGACCGAGTCCAAAGGGTCGCCCGCTTGGTCATCATCTGAATTAAGTCGCCGAGGAGGTGGTGTATTCCTGCCATCTGGGGCCTGGTCGCCCAGCACTCGTCGGAACATCGCTCGGACCTCGTCGAGAGCCCTCCAATGTCTGTGCTCAAGCCTTTGAGCGGCGCCAGGCTCACGACCAGCGAGGCGCATGAACCAGGCCTCTCGACGTCCCTCGGATTGCCGCCATGCCGAAGAACATAATTCATCAAAAATATCTTGAAGGCTCCTTCCAGGAAACCAAGTCAATAGCAACTGACGTAAAGGAATATTGGCATCACGGCCGATCGAGGCGGATAAAAAGGCAGTGCACCACTCAACCCACGGACGTCCATCCCGTGGAATCTGTGCGTGGCTGTCGAACCAGAGGGCCGCCCAGTCGCGTAAGTTCTGGCGCATGTCCTGGTAGTCCTGCACTGGGTCAGGAGGTGCAGGCATCCGAGCTGGATGGAGGTGTCCTGGACTGCTGCCCCACGTCGCGCCACCGACTGCGACCGCGCCATGAGAAAGAGGAGTCCAGCAAAACCCTGCGCCCCCACCCCCACTCGCTGAGTCCCCCGCCTCCTGTGGAAGGGGTGCCCTGGGGGGTGGTGGGCGCAGGCGCGACTGCGAACCTGAGCTGCCACAGGCAACCCAGGAATTGCGATCTAACGCCTGATGCCCTCCGTCATCAACATGCACAGGCGCAAAAGCATCTGGTAGCGCACCAGGTAAAGCACGTAGGCGCTCGCTACCACCATCTGCATCAGCAGGACCTCCAAACGCTCTGGTATCCTGCTCGTGGAGCCCGAAGAACTCCTCCTGGTTGAAGCCAGGGTCGGCACACAACTGCTCGAAGTCGTCGCCGAAATCGAAGGTATGGGAATCTGCCGCCATTGCGCCGATAGTAGCAATCAGGAGCACAGGCCTAAGCAGCGACCTTGGGCTTCTTGGCCAGCAGCTTCTGGCACGAGTCCAGCTGGCGCTTGGCCTGGGCACGCAGCTCCGTCTCATCAGCGCTGGCTTCCATCCCAGCATCAGCAACAACTGCCCGAAGATCTTCCAGGTCCATATCTTCAGGTACAGGCATGTCAAAGTACTCGGGCCGAACAGGCTGCTCAGCTTGCTGCTGTGGCGGCTCAGGAGGTCGCTGCTGCTGTTGCGGCTGCTGCTGTTGCGCGCGAAGCTGCTCTTGCTGTTCGGTTCGCTGCTTCCGAACTTGCTCAAGCCAGGGCTCCGCGAACTGGGCGCAGCTGGCAGCCAACTGCGCACCGCCACCGAGGGACTGAACCAGGCTCTGCAGCTGCTCCAGACTGGCCGTGAAGGTGTCAAAGACCGCCTGGTCGCTGCCTTCAGGAGAATGAGTGACCTGCTCAGGTGTACGAGTACGCAGCAACTCCATCTGCTCCACCTGCATCTGCACCCGAGCCTTTTCTTTGGTCTCCATCTGCTGCTTGAGATCCACCAACAAAGCTTGCTTTTCAGCAATGGCCTGCTCTTCCGACTCGATGGTGGCCTTGAGCTTCGCAATCTGCTGATCAGCCTTCTGAATCTTACTGCCAATGCCATGCACCTGCGCACCCAACGGCTTAGCATCGTGGATCTCCTGCCGCAGCTTTCGTAAAGATGTTTGAGCTTCCTCATAGCCGACGACAGTCTGCGGGGCAACGCCTTTGACTTTAGCGGCCAGCTCGAGGGAAGCCACAACCTGCTCCAGTGCCTCCAGCTCCTGCTGCTTACTCTGGGCGTCGTCCTTAGTGGTGGCGGCATCAGACTGCGGAGGCGATTTCTGCACGTTCTCAGTCGGCCTGGTCCGAGACAGCTGCTGCACCTGCTTCCGAAGGGCCGCCAACTCCTTATCCTTAGCATCCAGCGCCGCCCGTGCATTGCCCCCCAGCAGCAGGTGCACGAACACTGGGCGTAGGAGAAGGAAGATCGCACTTGTAGACACGTCCTTTGGCCCCACCACACAAGAAGCAAG